CTGGAGCACCTCCATGGTTGGTGACCCCACCATTCCCTGGATAGCTGTGCCACTGCATCACCACTCTTTCAGAGAATAAATGTTTCCTAATAGCCAACCTGAACCTCCTCTAGCACATCTTGAGGCCATCGCCTCTCGTCCTACCGCTGTTACATGGGAGCAGTCCAATCCCCACCTCATCGCAATCTCCTTTCAGCAGCTGGGAGCAATGAGGTCTCTGCTGAGCCTTCTGAGCCATCCCAGCCCTCTCATCTACTTCCTCTAAGACATGTGCTCCAGACATGCTTTGTTCATGGCTTTGTTCCCCATCTGTAGGCGCTCTTCAAGAACTCGATGTCTTTCCAGCTTCACAGGTAAAACTATAGCAGGAAAAACTCCAGCGAAAAATTCCTGAGTATATTAGAAAATTGTCAAACAGTGGGAGACTGGCACAGTGCAGTTCAAAGAGAAGACTGCCATATGGACATGCACCACGATTCAGAGCAATGAATGATCAGGAGAAAACAAAATGGGGAATCAGAGTCATGTTTCACCTTTTGTCTTGAGAGCAGAAAGCTTCTTCCCCCTCTCCCAGCTGGGTGTTTTCACCCTGGGTATGACCTAGAGTTGTGTTCATAGGAGTTAGGATCTGGATTCACATCTTAGTCCTTCTTGTGGAACCACCTGCATGGTAGCCAGAATCACGATGACCTCTTGTCCCTCATTTTAGAGGCTAATTAATCCTTCTTAGTTTTCATTTCTTTGGGGAGGTAATTGGTCGTTCTCTCTTGCAAGGGAAGATCCCTATTCCATTTGCCACACATGACATAGGGAGGGCATTCCAACAAATCAGCGCCACTGCTGATTAAAGCTTGCTCTCAGCAGGACTTCAGCTGGGGAGGCCTCATCTTTTAACAAAGCCAGTCATAAAGTTAAGGAGAAAAGATCTTTTTGTGTTGCCAAAGGCCACGTTCCCTGTAACTCACACTGCAAATCAGATACAGCATTATGTTCTGCTAGACGTGCTATTATCATTGGCCTTTGCTTCTGCACTTGTCAATCAGGCAGGGAAAAGGCATACAAAAAGGCTCCTGGACACATCCACTGAGACAAAGCAGCAAATGTTCGGCCTATCTGGACACGTTGACATTTTATTGCAAAGACTTGGTGAGTCTAATGAGCAAGACAGGGCACTGAAATGCTGAGAATCATCACCTCTTGGACAGGGCTCTTTGGGATGGAGTTCAACGTACTTCATCCCAAATACTAAGAAATCACATCTACATTGCACCTTGAAAACCAAATATTTACTATGTTACTTATAGGGTATTCTTCAAAAGTTTTTCCATTTTCTGTTGAGGTAAAATGACATTTGGAATGTGTGCTTACAGGATTTTAACCTACAGCTGTGATAACAATATATAGTCCATCTTTTCTCCGTGTGGGTAGTTTTTAATCCATAAACACTTCTTAGTTAAACATCATCTGGAGGGCAAACAGAGTGACTAAGAGCTGCGCCCAATCATGGTCAGATTTCCGTATCCCATGTGAATTGTGACTGCAGCAAGCCAAAGCACGACCCTATAAAGAGAGCAGATTTCTGTTTTCCCCATTGAGAAGGTCCTCCATGGATCATTAAACACAGCCACCATTTCCATGAGTGCTACTGGAGTTTATATGGAAGTAGGTTCTCAATGGCTTGAGGTAGGTAATTAGAGACAAGTCGCTATGCAAATGAAAGTACAAATGCTAAAATGATGGCATTAGGATTCCACAGAATAGAATTGTAAATAATTATATGTATAATTACTTTATCATGGAACTTGCAAGAGCAAACCTCCTGAAAATTTTGCCCAAGGAAAATATTGGAAAAGACCAAATAACTGCTGCAGAAACAGGAGTGCATTGCAGCATTATTGGTGACCATAAACATGGACTTTGTGACTGTGATAAGAAATGAAGCATTGCTGTTTGTCTGGCTCCACCTCCTGATAAAATGGTAAATCCTGGCAGGGCAAAAAGGTGTGCATACCATCAACAGCACATGGCCTCTCCTTCAACTAAGGAAAACTATTAAGATAGACTAGGTGTGTTTTAATTTACTGTTGGTGCTTCAAGCTGTGCAAATGAAAAACATTTGTATTACAACTTTGTTATCATCTACTTGATTATTATCAAGATAAGAAAGACCCTACAGTGTTTATTTCAGAATACAAGGAAAAAATCAAACATTTTGATATTTTGACTACTTATCTTCGTTATTAGATTCTATGCTGATATAATATACCATAGATACATCATCATTTTATCTTGAAAATCATCGATAAACAATTTCAATCACTCTTAATTTATGAAAAGTCTTTCAGCACTGCAGGTATCCTTCATTTTTGGCAACTCTAAGCAGATAGAAATATTGAGGTTTATCCCCTCAAGACGTTTCTCTCTCCACTGTGCAACCAAAAGGATCTTTCTGCTTTCCAGTTATTAGAGGTTACTTCTGTGCACTGAGGAAAGGCTTTCCATATTGCATTTTTTAAAGTTATTAAACAGCAATAAAGCCAGTGATGCAGAGAACCTCTTTATAATAAAGCAATACGTACATGTATATTTACTCATTTCCCGAGACACTACAAGCTTTTCTTTTTACGACACAGCTAATTAAAATAGTCTCATCCTGTGCTCTGTCTATGAAGTATTACAGATACCAAACTGTGAGTTAAAGGCAAAAAAATGGTGACAGATTGTTCGACCACAAGTAAGGCTCCTGTTAAATACACTGGCACTGGCAAAGTGGAAGGGAAGCACAGGAGTTTCAGTACATTGCATGTAGCCATCTTGGGGTGAAGAGGGAAGCTTCCCTTCCCTTCCCTTCCCTTCCCTTCCCTTCCCTTCCCTTCCCTTCCCTTCCCTTCCCTTCCCTTCCCTTCCCTTCCCTTCCCTTCCCTTCCCTTCCCTTCCCTTCCCTTCCCTTCCCTTCCCTTCCCTTCCCTTCCCTTCCCTTCCCTTCCCTTCCCTTCCCTTCCCTTCCCTTCCTCTCCCTTTCCTCTCCCCTCCCAGGGGTTTTCCAGATGTTTTAAGCTCATTTACCTACTTATATGAGGGCTGTTATGGACAGAAAAACTCAGCACAGTGCATATTACACAATCCTGGAGTCTGGTATGTGGGAAAGGCTGAATTTCAAGCTTCAGGTTCTTCCAAATTCTTACATCAGGGACATATGCTGGAACATCATGGAATATGATGTTCCGTGTTTATCAATGGAAAAGAATGTTTTCCTTGAATAACTAAATACAAATAGGCTGCAGAGATCTATGAAATACTGAATCTGTTAGGGCTAGCCTGCAAATTACAGTTAATCCTATTTGTACATGTAAAGAGTGTTTTACAATTCATTAAAAGTGGTACTGATGCCCTAGAATGCACTAAAGGTGATTAATATGTACCGCTTTAAATAATACAACAGACTTTACAAAGTTTGAATTATTTATGAGAGCAGCAGTAACATCTAGCAGAAATAAAAATAAATGAATGACTGAGGAAAAGAGTGTTTTTCTAAACGTTACTTAAGACAGAGCGTTATTTCCTCTTTCCCAGTCAGCAGTGCCTCGTTTTTTAGAGAAAATGAGAATTGCAGAAGTTGGAGGCATCCCTGGAAATCACCTCATCCAGCTCCTTGCTCCAGTTGGTCACCCTGCACCATGGCCAGTCAGGCTTTGGTCTCCTCCAAGGACGGAGGCTTCTCAAGCTCTCTGGATGCCATTCCAAGCCGTTGGCTGACCTTCAGCTCCCACCAGCAGCTGTGCAGAAGGTCTAACTAAAACCTAACTAACTAAAACTGAACTAAAACCTCAACGAGATGCAATGAGCAGTGAGAGCTTGCCTCTCCTGTCCCCAACGCATCCAGTTAGCAGCGTTTGGCCACACTCAGCCCCATGGCATTTTGTTGCCCTGCCAGGCTGCAGCAGCACAGTCAGGATTTATCCCTGGTGCAGCCCCCTCCAGCAGCTGTTAGATGAAAATGGAAAAAAGAGCCCTCCATCAGCCCCCGGGGACCCATCAAGACAGAAACTCCAAGCATCCATTGCGAAGATGGACAGTTTTAATCCCACACAAGAGCCCACAGACACTTACCCTGACTGTAGGGCATACGGCAGTGCTCACTTTGCTGGCACATGCCTGCTCTCACCTCCTGATATTTTTATTATTTTGCTGACAGTTTTTCTTTCTGTCTGTCTTATGAGGCAGACTTTTCATTTTGGTTAAAGCCCAGCGAGTATCAAGCAGGGCCAGGGCTGGAGGAGGTCAAGGGAGGAGGCAGGAGTTGCAACTAGCTTGCTGTAAGCTTTCCCTAGACCCAGCTGCCAGCTCCTCCTGCTGTTACCACATGATGGATTTGTTCTCAGCTCCTTGCATGATCTCTTGTACAGCAAAAGCGTTGAGAGAGCAATGACACCCAAATCTGAGCTGGGTGTCCAGCGTCCTCCAGTGATACTGTAGCAAAACAAACAACGGTGCAATGAGAATCCTACAAAAAGCAGACATTGACCTACTGGACAGGAAAACGTTCCGTATCTGACAGCTGTGATGGAACTGGGTGGGTATTTCCACCACTAAGGGCACACAGGAGATAGAATGGTTCAGAAAGCCTGAAAGGAACGATGCATTGTCTGTGATGGAGAGGCAGGAGACAAAACATGCACACTCCAGATGCTCAGGGTTGGCTGACCTGACCGTTCTGTTCTGTCCACAGACCTGTCAGTTATCAGCTTCCCTCCCCTCTCCTTCAGCCACTGCGCTGCTCAAACAGCTCATTTCTTTCCAGCAGAGCTGTTTGTTTGGAAACGTGCCACTGACAAAGTTGTTTTTCTCTTCTGTTTCTTATTATGACACAGCATCACAGTCATTAGCACTTCACATTTAGTGACAACATTTTTCCTTTGGAGACTGTTATTATACAAGATTACAAGGCAGGAACTATCGGAATGCTTCTCAAGGGGAACTGGTTATTGTGTCCAACAAAACTTATGTTGATTTTGAAGCATACTTTAGAAAACTACCACCAGCCATTAGGATCAAAACCAAGCTCTTATTGTGTATTGCCATCTAAATTGGCTCCATACTCTACATGTGCACTGCATGAAGGAAAGGAAGCACTCTGGGGTTTCTCTTGCAGCCCCGAGGGGTTGCAGGCAAGATGGGATGAGTTAGAAAAGGCAATGAGATGACCTGTTCTCACCCTGGCATTCATTTGATCAAATTACTGAGCACCTGCTATTGAACAGAAACAACAGTTTCTACACCTGGACAATGTAGGGAGCAATGCTGGGTGAGTAATTGATTTTTCAGTTCAACTACTAAGTTAAAAAGTGGGAAAAAGAAATCAATGTGATCCAAATTCTAGTCTTTTTTTTTTTTTTTTTTCCAGCAAGAAAACATAAAAGAAAATCTACTTCAGTGATTAAAAGCAAAAATTTTAATTCCATTTTGAGCAAAAAATGGGAATGTCTGCAGCACCTGCATGTTGGAAACCAAAATTATAGTATCCCAACACCCAACAGACACCTAAATTTTGCATCAGTGTAGAACAGATCCACATCTCAGCCACATGTTTCATAGTGGGTCTGTGTCCAAATGGGGAGTGCTCAGTGCAGGAGAGACATGAACATGAGATATGGCCAGAGAAGGGATGGAACATCTCTCCATGAGGACAGGTTGAGAGTCGGGGTTGTGCAGCCTGGAGAGGGAAGGGCTGCCAGGAGAGCCTAGAGCAGCCTTTGGTATCTAATGAGGGGCCATACAAAAGAAAGGGACAGACTCTTCAGTACAGTCTGTGTGATAGGATGAGGGGAAATTGATTCAAACTAAAAGAGTGGATTTTTTTGACTGGGTATAAAGAAAATGTTGTTTACAACAAGGGTAGTGAGGCAGTGGTTCAGGTTGCCCAGAGAGGTGGTGAATAACCCATCCCTGCAGACAGCCAAGGCCAGGGGATGGGACCCTCAGCTCTGATGGAGCTCTGGGGGTCCCCATTCATCACAGATGGACCAGATGGCCTTTAAGGGTTCCTTCCAACTCAAACAATTCTATGTCTATGATTCTATACCCATCTTGTGTTTTACCCACTGGAATGAAGAAGGCAGGCAGCCATCCCTCCACTGCCACGTCAGGGTCATTCTGAGTCTCTAATTAAGTGGTAATTGATGGGGACAAAGTAGCTGATCTTCTTGAGACTGGATTTGTTCATTTTCAACAGAACGGACATCTTGCAACACAGTTACTTGGAAATGCAGATTAGAGCCAAGCATTTCAGGTTGGTTCCTCTCTGAGCCTCCTGAAGGCATCCACCAGATCTCATCGCCATTTCAATTTACAAACTTGCCCAGTGATCAAAGTTGTTATTATTAAGTTTTAATTCTACTTCACCCAGATGGGATTGCTGGATGAAATAGAAGGTGTCTCCCAGGAAACGCAGCTGCACAGCAGCCCCCACATGGCAGAACCCTCCAGCCTGGCAGCCTGCAGATCTTTAGGGATAGGTAAATCAATCCCCATCATGGCATAGGAAAAAAAAAAAAACTGCTGTGGCAGCACAAAGGATGGATAACACAGCAGGGCCATGAAGAAAATGCATGAAATGGTGGGCTCCCTTCATTCTGCACAATGTAAGGCAGAGGAAAGCAGGTAGACCTGATCTTAGGATGAAATGAGATGCATCAGAACTCCCCTCACCACAATGAGACGTTCTGTGTCCCTGAATGCTGCAATCACACATCTGCTGCCATGAGTGAGGGGCTGCTCTCTGCCTTTGCAGCTGCTGCTGGGAGAGCAGACACGGCTTCCCGAGCTGCCAGTCTATCACCTCCCATCAGCACAAAGTATGTTTTGATAAAGAAATGAAATACGCAAGCTGAGGATAATTGCAGGTTGTAGATAGCGATAATAGCTGCAATTTGGATTGTGGAGGCAATAAACCCAGGCTCAGTCGCTGCCTGCTTTGTTTGGGAAGGAGCCCACACTGCAAACGCTGAAAATGAAATTTATGAAAAATACATCTTTCAGGAAAAGAAATTAGCGTCTATCTGTTGCTGTGGTTGCGGGAGACTGGGAGCTTTAACTTCCTGCAGGCTAAGCCAAAAAGTTTGCATTGGGAGGCAGCCAGCACAGGTGGGACCAACCACTGCCAGAGTCTGTCATTGCCAGTCATTGGCCATACTGCACAGACCATGAGTTTTTAGGTCATTCACAGTGGGCTGGGATAAATATGACTCCCATTTGATTGGCATCAGGTCATCAAACAATAAATGGCTCCCACCGAGGTCTCCCTGTTCGTGGCCTTGGGCTGTAAAACATTCCTAATTGAACCTGCTGCTGATGGCCAACTCGTGTCGTGCTGCTCCAGTTTACAGCAAGTGCTCAGCAGTTCCCACAGCGAGCAGAAGATAAGGAAAATCCCATCTCATTTTCTTTCTTCTTGTCTTCCTTTCTTCTTCTCTAGCAGTCTGGAGCTTTCTGTCGGCATCTGAATTCTGTCTGGCTTCAAGCACCTCAGGTAGAGCAAGACAAAAAAAAGATGAAAAAGAGAAGATGCAATTAATAAACTGAGATTCAGAGTGAATGAGACTACGTTTCCTTTTTAACCAAATTCAACTAGTGCTCTGTGCATGCAGTAATAGAGGAAATTGGAAATACACCACTGTTCCATTTAGACACCTTCCAAATGGAAATGCTGCGCTACGGAAATGCAGGAGCACTTCAATTTTGTGTTGGTTTTTCTTTTCCTTCTAAATTAAATTGTGTCTTTTCTATGTAAAAGTGGCCAGCATCAAGCAAGAAAGATGCACATAAACCAGGCGAATAGCTCAAAAATAAAGCACAGTATTTATCCGCCTAATGAAAACATTCCAGGCTGACCCTAAATTAATTATTTTATTTTTTTTCATATGATGTGCAAGAACAACAACAACAACAAAAAAGAAATCCTTCCCCAGCAAACCCAGGAGGATTTTTAGGCTGGGTCACTGACACATAACTCCATTATTTTTCCAGATCATCTCTGAACATGTGAAGTTTCAATCATCTCCATCCCAGAACTTCTTCGGCTGCAAAATTGATCTCTAGGGAAAGCTTCTCTGGCAGTCAGCTTAACTATCCCTTCCTCATTTTCATCCCATTACTCCTAGCCAATTATTTGTTAGACTTATTGCGATGAGCAATGGGTATTTGTGACCTTTTTTTTACTCTGAGCTGCGTATTATGGGATGGAAACGCGGTGAGGAAACCTCTTACTGCTGATGGGTTCCGTAATGGTTTTACCTTTAAATATATCTTCAACAAAATATCCCAGCCATTGTGGGGATGAGACTACAGCCTTGGTGAAATGGAAGCACAACGAATGTCCCTGGGGCTTCTCTCTAGAGGTGGAAGGGCTTTTTAGGAACAAAAAAAAAAAAAAAAAAAAAAAAAAAAAAAAAACACAACTGCTCAGAGTGGTGTTGGAATCACCATCCCAGGATGCGTTTCAGAGCAGTGGAGATGCAGCACTGAGGGACGTGGTCAGTGGGCACGGTGGGGTGAGTTGGGTTGAACTCAGTCATCTTAAGGTTCTTTTCCGATTTTAATGATACTGTGAGTCTAGGACTATGTGAAAAGAGAAGTACAACCTTAAACACCCATGAGTTGCTATAGAATCCTAGTAAAAATAATAATAATAATAATAAATGCATTTTTAACAGCAGGAACTGACTCCATTTCATGCTTCTAGAGCAGTAACACTCACTGGACTTCTGACTCAGACTTACTTGAACATTAACCAGTCCTAATTCAAATATGCTATTTTCTAAATGCATATTAGGTAGCTTACAACATGATCCTCCTCACAAACCACCATGGGAGAGAGTCACAGAATCATTAAGATTGGAGAAGACCTCCGAGATCATCCACTCCAACCATCCACCTACCACCAACATAACCCTACTAAAACAGATCCCTTCGTACTAAATCTAAATGTTTCTTGAATGCCTCCAGGGACAGTGAGCCAACTACCCCCTGGGCAGCACATTCCAATGCCTGACCACTCTTTCAGATAAAGTTTTCATAATATCTGACCTGAAGTTCTTCTCGGTGCCTACCAACCTCACTCCACACAAAACATAACCACTGTGAACAGCAGGGAGGCCTCACCTACCCATCAGGCAGAGGTGCAGTTTCTCTCTCTGGGTACAATAAACTTGAAAGTTAACTGCCATCTTATCTGGGCACTGATGTCAATGAATGGTCCATTTCTCTTATATTCTGTCAGCACTCATTCTCTCCCCTGCTGATGCAGTCATAGGTAGGTCATCACCTTCTCCACCACATTCCCATCACCTCAGGCTTTGGCTGTCAAACATAAAACACTGGCACCAACTCTACTCAAGATAAAAGCTGAAAATTATCTTTTTCAGACCTTAGATAAGTAAATAAATAATCCCTTTCGGCAACCACTTCAGGGATCCCTCCAGCAGATTCTCCTGCGTTGGGACCACTGCTTTCATCAGGTCGCTTTTCCTTACTCTCTAAAAGGTGGAGAATGGGAGACCCATGACCCTGACTCTGCAGGTATGCTGTCTGCCACATGATCTAATGGCAAAAAAAGCCTGCCAATGGTCCAGTGAAGACACTCAGCACTGAAAGAGATATTTGATTTGAGGAGGATGAAGCGAGGCAAAGCAAGCGCTGTAATGCTGAGCATCCAGGCCAGCAACAAAGGCAGATGTCTGCACAAAGGTTCTGAAATCACGGGGTCCCAAATCCACTTTCAGTGGGTGGTATCCTGAGACAGAAGTCACAAGCAACAGCAAAAACAGAGTGAAGAAAAGGCTGAAGTCTTTAGGATCATTGTGGTGCACCTCATAAAGCCCAGCAGGATATGAAGCCTTTTCATAAAGTCCCACCTGCCTACAAATCTTTAGCACTGGGGAAGTGATACAGTGAGCTAGTAAACACTTGCCTTTGTACATCACTTGGTGAAGCAATTGGACAGATTAACACAGTGGGAAAAGCATTACAACAAAGGTGTGATAACAAAAGGACTGGCACAACAGAGAGGTGCTACAAAGGAAGGGAAGAAGATTGCTCACCCCTACCAGAAGATTCCAGGTTTGCAGGGCAAAGCTCCATCAAGGAAAGATCTCCAGAAAGAGATCCTTCCCCAAGGGCAGCCAGCCCTTAAATGAGGCCTAAGAGAGGTGCAGCCAGGCTCCATCCCTTCCTATCACAGCTGAATTGCCTTCACCTGTGCTCCCAGGGCTGACGGGTTCCTTTCCCCATGTGCTCCATCAGTGCTTCAGGCCAGGACTCAACAGTTTCCACAGTGCTCCACAGTGCTTCAGGCCAGGACTTCAACACAACAGGCTTCAGCAGACCAGCAGAATATTGGGCACTCCAATTCACACACCCCCAAGTTCTGGAATGTGCTGCTCTCAAACACTCTCACCATTTCTCAGCATCTTGGTCAAAAGTTTTCTGACACTGTTTGATATTGACAAGCCCGTGCCATCCATAGGCATTTTCCAGCTGAGATTGTTCCTTTCCAGAGGAGACAGAAAGACGTTTGGTCTGATGGGTCTGGCTGATACGTGCTCTGCTCAGTGGCCACTGAGCACTTCCCCAAGTTTTATTGCGGATTTAGACAGCAAGCACTGCAGGGAGCAACATAAATGCAATTTGTGACTGACTCAACAGTAGAGATGAGAGGTTTGGCAGCTCTCAGAAAGTTTCTGATGTCAAAATATTGCAGGCTATTTTTGTCATTCTCACCTTACTAATTCCACCAAGCCATCCAAGCTTGGCACACATCACAGCGTCTCATTTGGCTCAAAGCCATTCCATTTTCAAACCAAACCATGTACCCTTCCTCCTGCAGAACGAATGTTCAATAGCAGAAGGGCAGAGCTGTCATGCAAATGTAGTTGCTCAGCTCTAAATCGTGATCCCTGAAACAGAGTATACAGATGAGTTATCCAGTTTGCAGGTGAAACAGTATTTGTATTCACGTCCACACTCTCACCACAAACTCACAATGTGAATAACTTTCATCAGTAAATCTGACAGAGACACTAAAATTAGGAGCTAGTTAGATCTAGAAGCCCATGTTTGAAATTGTGCTGTTCTTTGAGATCTTCTTTTTCAATTGTTGTGCAGCCCTGGAAGCATTGCTCCAGCATTCAGCATACAGCCCCACTGATGTGGCTTCCAGGTTGGGTTTGGACCCATGTTCACAGGGGCACCTCAGAGATGCTGATGACATCCAATGCAGTGCTCTGCATCTACCCTTGACCATGGCAGCCATCTTAGGACTGCAAGGTATACAGGGTTTTTTTGCTTTGTTTTTGTGTTCTGGATTCAGGATTCAGATGAATGATTCCCAAGGAAGGATCCACCTTTGGCCAGGAGAGTGGGCTGCTCATCACCACCTTCAGAGATGCCCCATGATCCTGGCATGCTCACCACCACTGCTCTGCCAGCTGTGACCCTTCCTCTCCAACACAAATACAACACGCAACTGCATGCGTGATTTTTCCAGCTCAGTCCTCGTGTAGGGCTTTATACAGGGCTGTCCTCCTCTATCTGCGCTGCAGAACTTAACTGTTAATATTCATTAACTTAAGAGGAAACTGAGCCCTGGCAAAACTCCAGACAAAGCTCTGTTGGTAGATCCAAAGGCAAACTTGTGCTGATGCTTGTCTGCAGCCTGGGATTTAAATTCCTACACGCCCATAAGAAATCAGAACCCATTGCAGTAGTAAACTGGTGTTTTCCCTGCCTGCTCTCAAGTTCAAGCTCTCAGACGAAAGATACTTTGCACAGTTGTTGACAAAGCACTTCTCACCTGCAGAAGAAATTGCATGGAATGCGGTGCCATCACTTGGTCACCCATCACCTCTTATCTGTGGATTCTGTGGACGTCTGTGACAGGGAGAAACTGCTTCCCTCCATACTACAAAGCCCAACAAGAAATAAATATCTTCCCTTTGTAGCTTGGACTTTATCTGGCCTAAGGTATTTGCAAGGTCTTCAGTAACGAAGTACAGCAGGAGGGAGGACAAGTGTATGAATTTCATGCAGATGCTATCACTTATTGTTAATGCCATGACCCATTGCTAATGCAGAGGGTTGTTATCATTCATGCACTGTGCCAGATAGCTACAGATGTGTCCAGAATACCAAAAAAAAAACAAAAAAAAAACACAAGACAAAGCCAGCTTGAGAAGACAGCAAACAGGCAAACACAAAAGGGAGCAAAGTAAGTATTCATCTTCTTTATAAACTGCATTTATTGTTTGTCTTCCCCTGAAGAACACTGAAGAAGCAGGATGATGAAAGAGAGAACAGGAGTTTATCAACACAGAAGTTCTGGCAAGAAACCAAGTCACCTTTGGAGCTTCTTGCTCTGAACAAGAAACCATCAATGCTGAGGTACAGCCATAAATGATTTTCACAATGGACTGGCCCAAACACTGAAATTATTCTGCAGGGAGCAGCTCTTCACAGGCTGATTGGATTCATTCAGTCTCGAGCACCGAGGATACACCAGGGGCTAGTTTCATTTATTGGGTTTAGAAGAAGTATTTACAAATCTAAAATCATAAATCTAAGGTTTTGCTGCCTTAGCTAAAGAGCAGAAATGTAGCTAAGACTGATGCCAGCCAGGACTTTGCCTTCATCCTTGAGCTCTGTTGATTGATGGAGTTACATCCAGATCATTAAAAAACATACATTAAAAGAAGGCTCCTGACCTTCGAGGAGAACAGCGCTGAATGATTAAATGCTACAAAAGAGACAACAAACATTGACAAACAAAACAGACAAAACACAACAAAAAACATCTACCAGAATTCAGCAACAAAAATAGGAAAGAAATGTACAGCAGCATAATATTGTGTAAACTGAAGGTCTCTACATCTGGCCAACTGGCAGTGAAGATGGTGAAGGTTCCATCATGAGCAATGAAGATGCTGAAGAAAGCTGATCACCTCTCATCACTATTTCTTATAGCAAAGGCCCCAGCAAAGGCTGGAGAGAAGTTGCTCAGACAGTTGAGATGTTCTATTCTGCACCAGGGCTGTGATTGGAAGGCAAAGCCACAAGTCACCAGATACTGAAGGGCTTCCTCTAAACAGAAGGCTAGCTAGACCAGGACAGGGCATTCATTAGTTGGCAAAATCTCTCAAATGTCAGTGAAATTTGGACTATGGTTTCATCCACTGTGTCATCAAAGGGACCTCAGGAGGCTTCTAGTCCAACCTCTTGCACAAAAGCTGTGAGATGAGACGAGGTTGCTCATGGCTTTGACCAGTCTTGTCCTAAAAGCTGCAACGGTGAAAACTGTACAACTTCCCTGGGCAACTGCTTCCATTACTCAGCTGTCCCAGTGGTGAAAAAAAATGTCATCCC